TTTCCCAAAGCTTTCTCTTTCCACCCCAACTTTTAGTCATTTTCTTTTTTGAATTCCTAGACTGCTGTTTGTTCCTACTGCCAATTACGTCCTAATAAATATATTCTTTCACTCTTAGCAGTTTAGACACTCATGTCTCTATATCCCAGATCTTAACACAGTTTTCTGCAAAGAATAAAACCTAAATAAATACTTGTTTGTGAAAATGACGTGTTCTGTTACCCTTCATAAGCCTACCTAAGGCTTAATAAAATAATAAAAGAAGAGGAACTTATTCTTTTATTTTTAAATTTTAAAAAATATTTTAACTTGTATTTTTTTTTAAGATTTTATTTATTTATTTGACAGAGAGAGAGAGAGAGATCACAAGTAGGCAGGCAGGCGGAGGGAGAGGGAGAAGCAGACTCCCTGCCGAGCACAATGCCCAATGTGGGGCTTGATCCCAGAACCCAGAGATCATAACCTGAGCCAAAGGCAGACACTTAACCACCTAAGCCACCCAGGAGCCCCAACTTGTATTTTTTTTAATTCAAGTATAATTAACATCCAGTGTTATTAGTTTCAGGTGTACAATATAATGATTCAACAATTCTATACATTAGAAAGTTTTATTAATAAAATTAGCACATTGTATTTGTGTTTCTGCTCATACTGCATTCTTCCTACCGTTTTGTCTCCTTAGGTAATTATCACTAAATGCATTGGTGTCTTTTTATTATTGGAGTATAAATTCATAATTATCACCTCCAGTGTATAAGAAATATCCCAATTTGAATCCAAATCTTTTTCATATCAGGCTAGTAGGAAATTCATTCACAGTCATTAGAGAGTAGAGCAGGGACCTCCTTTTCCAGTCTGTGATCCCCAGAAAATTGGCCCTCACATCTTCAGTCCATCTTGTTCATTGGGCATATCCTCATTGTTGAAGACACATAGCCTTTTGGAAGTAGGCAGCAAGGCTTGGGTTAAGAAATATTTGCTGATTTTAAAGGCCCTGGTGCCAAGGGGCATTAGTTTCCCTAAATACACTGTCATGAGACTACCATGTTGGGCAGTTGGGCAGATTGTATGTACTGGCACTTGACTGAAGGAAGGAAAAGGAGCTGAAATCCAGCATGCAGTACACTTACCAAACTGAGTTCCCTTTGGCTATGTTAGCCCAGAAGGGTTGCCTTTTTCTAATTCATACATAGGTACTGTATGGGCAAGCCATGACCCTGATCACCATTTGCTGTCCCCTAGGACAGTCCTCACCTCTTCACCCTCTCCTCTTCCCCTCAGGCGCAAAGAAAGCTTATTACATATAGATTCTGAGAAATTTGTTTCCCTAATCTTAGGAACAATCTCTTTCTTCTTTAGCTTCTATCCTTAAAAATACTAACTTTTGATACTGCTTCCTGGACACCTTACATAATCTCCTCTGTTTGCTTAGACTTTGACAAAAGACAGAAAAAGATGTCTTCAAGAGGCTTCCACTCTAGATATTGCAAATGTTCTGGAACTGACTACTCTTGAAATTGGAGGGGTATGGGGTAAGAGGTAAAAATAGAGAGTAAGTTGGTATCAGTAAATAATTGAAATATTAAACTTTATTTTTAATTAATAAATTTTTAAAGTTTGAAATATTTTTATAATGTCCATTGTACAAGATTTACAGGATATCTATTTTTAGAAGGAATTCAGAAAATGATGGTAATTAAATGGAAATTGATGATTTACTCCTTTCCTCCCAGCATGATATCTGAAAGTTTAATATAGTGCACTAAAGACTTCAAAAGTTTAAAATTGTGGGGCGCCTGGGTGGCTCAGTCAGTTAAGCCTCTGCCTTCGGCTCAGGTCATGATCCAGGGTCCTGGGATTGAGCCCCGCATTGGGCTCCCTGCTCCACGGGGAACCTGCTTCTCCCTCTCCCGCTCCCCCTGCTTGTGTTCCCTCTCTCACTGTGTCTCTGTCAAACAAACAAACAAACAAACAAATAAATAAATAAATATTTTTAAAAAATAAATAAAAGTTTAAAATTGCTTTCTTTATATTTTTCATCAAAATTTTTTTGTTTTATGTGTATTTTTTGCTCCATTTAGTTAAATTAAGTGAATTTATCTTTAGGGTAAGCTGTCAATATTAAAGCAACAAAGTCATTTAAATTCATCCAGTGTGCCAGGAACAAACTGTATTTCTGTTTGTTGAATTTAGAACTTATACAAGAATGAGGAAGAGCGTTTCTGTTTTGAACAAATATGTTTTTGTCAATTTGTTTAGCAACCTGAGTAAAATGACACATGTAGACGATAGAGACAAATACACAAAATCTTAAGAATTTTAGTGCTATACATAGGAAGGTTTGAAGACTTCATTTGTATGAAAATTGTTATGAACTATCACATTTTTAATATACAAGGTGTGGTCCTCCCTCTTATTATAGAATAATATTTGGGAAAAGTAACAATCTTCTTTGTTAGCACAAGTAATATGGAGTGAAAATAATAATATAATAATTATATAATAATTTTGGTAAAATTTCTCAAAGTTGCAATTTATTGAATGCATACTTCAAATTAACAATAGTTATAAAGTAACTTATCTTCATATTTGGGTAAATAATAATTATAGGATACTATAAAATTCTGTTTGATTAATTGTATCATACAATAAATATATATATACATTATTTATCTTTAAGGAGAGCCAGTTACTATGAAAGAGTGAAAAGTTTTTTACCTTTTTAAAAAATTACTTAGAATATATGTTAAAAACTTGTATTTAAAATGTTTAGTATTATGTATACTGTATAAGTAGAACTCATGCTTATTTGGTGATGAAGGACACAGGCTTTAGAGTTAGATCAATCTTAATCTAAGCTCCAAATTTATCATAAATTGACTGCATAACCTCAGGCAAATTACTTAACTTCTTTGAGCCTTAGCCCATTTTTAAAATGGAGGTGATACCTTGTAAATTTCTTAAAATTAAATGTGATAAGGTTTATTAAGAGTTTATTTTGTACCTGACTCATCTCAATAAATGTTAGTTCAAATATATCGAATATAACTTTTTGTTACATAAAATAACACACATATGTCGTTCACCTTTTACAGTTAAGACCTGTATGCATCATTTTTGGAAATGAAAATCTTAATATTTTTGTGTGATCACTGTGTTATTTATGGTTAAACTTTTAAGAGGGTTCTTCCTTTTAAAAAAAATATGTTCAGTGCTCGCTTCGGCAGCACATATACTAAAATTGGAACGATACAGAGAAGATTAGCATGGCCCCTGCGCAAGGATGACACGCAAATTCGTGAAGCGTTCCATATTTTTAATATTATGCAGCCATCAAAAGGAATGAGATCTTGCCATTTGCAACGACGTGGATGGAACTGGAGGGTGTTATGCTGAGTGAAATAAGTCAATCAGAGAAAGACATGTATCACATGACCTCACTGATATGAGGAATTCTTAATCTCAGGAAACAAACTGAATGTTACTGGAGTGGTTGGGGGTGGGAGGGATGGGGTGGCTGGGTGATAGACATTGGGGAGGGTATGTGCTACGGTGAGCACTGTGAATTGTGCAAGACTGTTGAATCACAGATCTGTACTTCTGAAACAAATAACGCAACATATTTTAAGAAAAAAGAAAAAGAAGAAGATAACAGGAGAGGAAGAAAAGGGGAGTATGTCAGAGGGGGAGACGAACCATGAGAGATGATGGTCTCTGAAAAACAAACTGAGGGTTCTAGAGGGGAGGGGGGAAGGGGGATGGGTTATCCTGGTGATGGGTATTGAGGAGGGCACGTTCTGCATGGAGCACTGGGTGTTATGAACAAACAATGAATCATGGAACACTGCACCAAAAACTAATGATGTAATATATGGTGATTAACATAACAATAAAAAATTACAATAAAAATAAATAAATAAAAATTAAAAAAAATATGTTCAATTTAAATGTTTTTCAAGTGTAATGATCAGGTGATTGTCAGGCATTTGGAGGACAAACTCATTTCTACCCTGCTTATTAGTTAATTATTGTGATTGTAAACAAAGGATGTACAATTCAAAGTCAAGCAACATTTCACATGGATGTCGGAGGTGATAATAGCTTAATTCCTGCTGGATCTTTTTTCTTTGCTCTGGAGAGTTCATACTGACCTTGTCCAAAATCTGATGACCTCCCTGTTTTACTCAACTGTTTGGAAAGCCAGGCCTGCCATAGCTGGCCCTGAGGGGGTATCTGAAAGACCACTGAGTCACTGACCCATGTCAAGACTGGATTTCAAGTCTGATCTACAGGACCTCTGAAATAGTTATACATGAGGTTTATTGTACACAAAAACCTAACTAGCTGCATTTTTCTGCTTATAAAATATCATATTGAAGTGTGTTTTTAAATGTTCTTAGCAAAGTCATATATTTAATTTACCAAGTTAATTATTGCAGGTCATTTTCTAGAGTACTTGTAAATTTTGATCTTTTATCAAAGGTAGTATATTACAACTAAACTTGAGTGTTTTTGAAATCTGAGCAAAATATATTGTTAAACCATGGCTAAATGTAATGAATATTTTCCTGGTTGATGAAGGGACCAGTGCAGTGGCATTTTAATACTTATAAAGGTTTTGGTTTTTTTCTGGCAAAAATTCGCATACCTCATAAAAAACTTAGTTTAAGCTGTTACTATTGCAGCATGTAAATCTCTGTTTATATTTTGTCCAACCTCAAATAATACTCAAATGTTGGTATTTAAAAGTTTTGAGATTATGAGAATTGTCCTGAAAGGAAGCATATAACCAACCAATAAGGTGTTATTCAAATTTGGTTGGATGGGATCTGTCTCCCTTAATAGTGACTTAGTATCAGAGCTATGATAGGGAGAGAAAAAAATTCCCTATGTTTATTTTGTCCTAATTCTGCACAATAGGAAATAACCATGCCCTTTTATGAATATCTAGTCAGTATTCTACAGTCTATAATATGACATTGTCTTTTATTTTTATATAGGAGTTGATCCCGGAATTTTATTATCTCCCTGAGATGTTTGTCAACTTCAATAATTATAATCTTGGAGTGATGGATGATGGGACAGTAGTGTCTGATGTTGAACTTCCTCCTTGGGCCAAAACCTCAGAAGAATTTGTTCGCATAAACAGATTGGTAAGATAGTAATCATCTACTCTGTCTGTCATGAGCCTTTTTCAAAGTATCTTTCATGTGTTGGTATAATCATTAACCCTTGGTCTTCTGGACAAAACTATAGTTGGTAGCAATAACTGAAAGTGACATAATAGTTCGTAAATTTCCATATATATTTTATTAAATTTTATTGACTTGAAAAGTGTAACGGTTTCTTTTATTCTTTTATGCAGAATTTAGGTTACTTTCATATGCACATGATAATTCAGAATTAAGTGAAACTGGAATTACATGCTTTATGCAACATGAGTTTCTTGTACCAGGAAAAAAAACATAATTCTGTGCTCCAGGTTAGAAGATCATTGCACATTTTGATAATAGAAACAAGATTCTCAAGTTAAACCCTGTATCTTTTCAAGGAAATCTTCATATAATATTTAGAGCATGAAAACTTAAAAGCACAGTAATCACTGTGTTCTTCAGACTCCTCCCTAGTGAACTCTTTAAAGTCCTCTCTTATGTGCATTCTTGTATTATTTTATGAAAAAGTAATACGTCTTTTCCATTTTACCTTTAAGTTTCATAAAAGTTTGGGATCTAGGAGCTTTTTTCTCAGTTTTTAAAAGTAATATCTCTGTCATACTCCATATTAAAAGTGAAATCTAGGGGCGCCTGGCTGGCTCAGTCGGTAGAGCATGCAACTCTTCATCTTGGGGTTGTGAGTTCAAGCCCCATGTTGGGTGTCGAGATTACTTTAAAAAAAAAGTGAAATCTAAATTCTATTGTGTTTTAATTTACACTTAAGGAAAATTCTTGCGTTTTATATATCTAAGTGACATTTCTTTCCTTTTGTACCAACATTCATATTTTGATCCTGTCTTCCAGATCCTAACTGCAATCCCTTTATTACTGAAATTTCACATTTTATGTATACTGGAAGCAATGCAGGGTGGAATGAACATAGGCCTTGAAGTTAGACCAGTTTTCCCAATCCTGGATAAATCAATTTGCTAATTATGGGACTCGAGGCAGTTTAACCTTTCTGAGCCTTGGTTTCCTCATATGTAGTCTGGAGATTATGAATATAGAATTTTAATTATGTACATAAAATACCTAGAATATTCTTTGGCTTACCGTTGGCACTTGGGAATTAGTACCAAACATTATTCTGTTGCAGTCCTCAGGTACATGTTTCATTTTACTTTTACCCCATGCATTTTGGAAGATTACAGTTAAAATGAGGGTGTAAGACAAAGATTAGCTCTGACAGATACGGAAGGAGATGTCAAACTTTAAATGTGACAGTTGTCTATGGTTGTGTGATTCTATACTCCCCACCCAGGGATTCATGAATATCAATAGAAGGTACAGTTATTCCATAATTTTTTTCTTTCAGTGATTACTCTTTTAAAGTACATTTATGAGGTATAATATATGTACCATAAAATTCACCTTTAAAAGTATACAATTCTTTGAGTTTTAATAAATTTATACAGTTGTGTAACCATTACCACAATCCAGCTTGAGAGCACATATCACTCCAGGAAGTTTCCTTGTACCTGTTTGCAGTCAGGTTCTGCTCTGGGACTTTTTGTCCCAGGCAGCCACTGATTCTGTCTCTATAGTTTTGCCTTTTTAAGAGATTTTATATAAATGGTATCATGCAGGATGTAGTCTTTATGTGCCTGGCTTCTTTCATTTAGCATGATATTTTTGAGATTAACCCATGTTGTTACATATGTATCACAACATATCATATTGTATTGCTGCATAATATTCCATTGTCTAGATATAACATATTTTTGTTTATTTACCGGTTCATGGACATTTGGGATTCCCAGTTTGAGGCTACTATAAATATTTACATATGTCTTAGGGTGAACATCTGTTTTCATTTCTCTTGGATAGATTCCTAGGAGTTTTAATTGCTGGGTTATATAAGAAGTTGCCAAGACGTGATATTGTGAATATTATTTATTTTTGCTGCCCTAGTAGGTATCTCATTGCAATTTTAATTTGTATTTCCCTAATGACAAATGATGCTGACTACCTTTTCACAGTCTTATTTTCTACTCATATATGTTCTTTGGTAAACTATTCGTATCTTTTGCCTGTTTTTTAATTGGGTTGTTTTTCTTATTATTTAATTGTAAGTGATCTTTATATATTGTTTGTAAAAGTTCTTTATCCAACATATGTTTTGCAAATAATTTTCTCCTAGTCTTGTCTTTTCATTTTTTAATGGTTTCTTCTGCATCCCAAATGAATCACCATTTCTAAAAAATGGTTTCACTATTAGGTAGATAATAACACTTATGTAATATTTGAAAGGTATAAATAATCATCCTCATTCTTCAGGAATATATTTTTAAGAAAAAATTGAATCATGTTCTGATCATTTTATTATTGGAACGCTTTCTTAAATATTTCAAATTTTAACTCTCAAGGGAACCAGCTCTCTATTAATTATTACCGTATTTAGTACTATTAAGAGTACAAGGAGGTTTGTTAGAGAATTTAATTTGCTTTAAAAGAGTAGAAGGCAAACAGACATCTAAATAAGTTATATTAAAAGCTTTTCAATAATATTTTGACAGTTAAGGAAATTTAATTGTGTAAATTGAGGTAAGCTCCTCTCCTGATAGTACTTCCCATCTCTACTCTTACTACCTTTACCTCAGAAGAGCACATCAGTTTGGGATGGGTCTCCCAAGGGCACCATGGAAAAGAAGATAGCAACTTACCCCATTGTTTTCAATCAGATTTCAGTTTTGCCTGACCATGAAATTATACACAAAATAGTATTTCACAATACTAACCGCACATTTATTATAACTAACCATTAACTTTATTAAACATTTGTGCTGGTGATTCCTCTTCCTGTGAGTTTTATGTTGTCTTCGTAGTTTAGGCTCTGAATAAGCTTACATTCTTAACAGAACTGTATAAAAATGCCATTGCAAATTAAATGCAAACATAGTTTAGAGTCAAATATTTACATCTCTGATCTTTGAAATTTGTAATTAGGAAAAATACTTGATTTTACTTACATGTGTCTTTATGAAAGAATTCAATAACTCATACACTTTCAAAAATATTTAGTATACACCTGTGATGAACAAAGCGTTCCTACAGTACAGTCTGTATTGATTAATTTTATAACTTCCTCTCCACTTTCTGTAAGTGATTAAATTATTAGTATGGTATTTTATGTATTTGTTAGCATGTTATCGCATAAGGGTTTCATCCTCCTCCTCCTTTTGGTTTACCTCTTCAAGTCCACAGATTTTATGCAATGATTGTAGCTCATGAAATGCATACTACTTTGATCTGTGACCTTTTTGTGGTGCTAATCGGGTTCCTGATATCATTATACCTTACTCATTAATCATATTTCCTGCAGCCCGTCAGGCAGCCAGACAGCACAAGTCCCTGTTTTCAGCCCTCTGTTGGCAGGTTTCTGCTTTTCCAGATTATTACAGACGATACTTTGGCTTCTCCTAGCCAGAGCCACATCAAGCTGTGTGTTACAATTAAAGTCAGATGGTCCTCAGGTTGAACAGGGATATAGTGTTGCAGCTGTCTCTCTTCCTGGAACAAACCAGCACCAAGAACAGATGATCTATAGGACAGTGAATAATAACAGATTGTACAGTACTCCACTGGTAGCAGGGGATCACAGAATTAATTAACTGACATACTCATTTTAAGATACCCAGCACGTCTTTTTTATGTATTTGGTTGCCCAAATATTAATTCAAGTGGATAGGATATTTTTAGGAGCATGATTTTGATGGTTGACCAGTAATGCCACATTTTCTATTTTTGTTAGAGGACCATAAGTACTATCTTGCCTAACCATATTAATCCTCAGAGCTTTCTACAAGTAATGAAGATCTTATTTTCAAGTTGATTGCCAATTGGCAGATTGGCTAAAGGGCAGGATTTATGTACAGAAGACAATATCTTATGTATTTTAGAAGGAAAACCCACCTAGCTCTGATTAGTCTTTCAGGTAAATAAATTATATTTTCTTTGTTCTGAGCAGTTGGAATCAGGGTAAAACCAAAGAAGTCTTAACTACCTCCCAGAGATTGGTCTGTGTTACTTAATATTACCTGAACCAGAAAAAAGGTTTTTTTTTATTCCAAATACTGCTTCAGAAATATAAATGAGAAACAGGCTTTCATACTTTAAAATAGTATAACACTGTATGAGTTCAGACTGCTCATCAATTATCTTTTACGATATAATGTTGATGTTTTGGACCTACATTATATTGCCTCTTAGAACCCTCGAGTTTTAAGTTGAAATAAGAGACATAGAAACCCATACTCTGAACAGTAATGATAGGTATATTTATAAAAGTGGAAATGGAACATTTAGTTTAGCTGAAGGATATATAATTTATTCAAATTATAGTAAAAGCAATTCATTTATTTAAAGGCATTTACTGAGGGCCTATCTATGTACCAGCAGTGTTAGACTCAGTGAACAAGACAAACAATATCTATACTCTTTAGAGTTTTTTCATTTTTGATGACTTAGGTTTTTGAAGTAGAAGGCTTCTTAAGGCTGAGAGGTGGCATGAATCTAATAAGGAAGGCTCCTATTGGTGGATTGTCCTGAGGTTACCAGTTAGAATCACATTTGCTTTTTTTGCTATTAGATGGTTTTTCTTTTTATTGTTCAATTGTAGAAGTTTTAAATATTCTAAATAAAAATCCTTTATCAGGCATATGCATTGTGAATATTATTTCCCAGTTTGTGAATTGCCTTTTCACTTTCTTTTTTCTTAATTTATATATATATTTTTAACATATAATGTATTATTTGTTTCAGGGGTACAGGTCTGATTCGTCAGTCTTACACAATTCACCATGCTCACCATAGCACATACCCTCCCCAATGTCTATCACCCAGCCACCCCATTCCTCCCACCCCCCACCACTCCAGTAACCCTCAGTTTGTTTCCTGAGATTAAGAATCTCTTATGGTTTGTCTCCCTCTGTGGTTTCGTC